AGATAGCAAGAAAAATATCAGCTTCATTACGAGAGTGTAGAGTACGTGGTGGTGGAGCCATTGATGTATATAGCTTTTAGGGTGTATAAAGTTGGCAGGGTGGCCGACTCGCTTGTATGGCCGACTCGCTTATAAAACACGTTATGCATGACTTTCGATTTAGGTGGAAAAGCGGAGGAGTAGAAAACTTACCTTTTGCGGATTTTCCAATGCTTCCCATGAGTGTACTAATATCTGCTCTATCTTCAGGAGTTATAGTAAGACTCGAAAGCCACCTATCCGACCTCTGCTGAACATATGCTTGGATTTCTTGACCGTTCCCATCTTCCACACGGATTGGAGTGACCTTGGGACTTAACATTCTGACGATGTCATGGTCTGGTCGACCACTAATGAGGAGTTTTAGGTTTTCATGCTCTTCATGGAGCTGAAGCATGATTTCAAGGAGAAACCTTCGTTCAACCTCCAAAATATCATCCAAACCGTCCACAACGAAATACGTGGTCGGTAACATCTCAAGCATTTGCTTGATAAGGTTTGTAGCAAACTCTACAGAGCTGGAGAGCTGACGGGAGTTGTTCCTATACGCCAGGGTTACCATTGGCTGTAATATTTTGTTATCAATAGCCAGTTGAATCATGAAAGTGTGGAAGACCTGTAAAGGAGGGTCGTCATTTCGGGCTCGATAGGAAAGGAACGCGAAAGCAAGAGGGTCGCCCTGGGACTTCATCCTCCTGACGAAAAGGGACACCAAGAATGTTTTCCCTGAGTGAAATGACATTAGAATCCATGATTAAAATATAAGGGGCTGAGAAACACACGCACCTGCACCGAGGATTCCTTGCAACCATAGCAGCCTCGAACTCGAACAGTTAGGATCCACCCAGTCCTTGAATTGATTCAGACTCTCCAGCCAACTTTTAGTTAGAATCCGATAGTTTCCGCGAACTTTCTCGAGCTCGTCGTCATATAGGTTCGCTGAAAGTATGGTTTTTACTTGTTCGAAATCCGCGCGTGAATGAGCGTCTTGAATTTGTTCGAATACCCGATAAGATTCGGCCCGCGCGGCTTCTGCTTCCACTATGTTGTTCAGGTTGGCCTGACTGTCCATCAAGCCTTTGTACTTTGCAATGTTTTCGATTATCAACTGAATCTTGCGGGAGTATTTGGGCCAAAGAACTTCAAAAAATCTTTGAGCCTCTATTGCATCTGGTTAGACACCAAACGTGTACTGACTAAACAGGCGATAGTTACGTACTGTTGAGGTCAAAGAACTCGAGTAATGTTGAATGAAAATCCAGTATGTCTTTATAAAAAAGAGAAAGGAAGCGCTTCATATGGTCGTCCTGGCTGAATATTTCCGTGTACTTCTCATATTGGGGCAGGTGCACCCCAACTTGAGCCATGGTGTCCCATATCTTTTCATAGCCGTCGATATAGGTTTTTGTAGCCTATGCAAAGTGTGAGAACAAAGCTAGACATACAGTCCCGGCAATCGAATGAATCAAAATCTTTGCTCGGACATTGGTTTGCCATGCAAGATTTTGGGGATTTGGAGGCAACGCTCTTTCATAGTCGGAACAAAAAGTAAACTTGATAAGTGAGACGTACTAATAAGATTATTCTCAATGGACCCTAGATGACCTATCGTTAGTACGGTAAAACACGATGTTCCCAATTGGAGCTTACCCAAATCAACGCAAGAACGTCCAGTTTCGCCCGCACAAAGGTATCGATAACTTTAGCGTAGTGCTGCAGGCAGTCTAGGTATGGTTCGATCCTGCGAAGATTTCGCAACGTGCCAGACTTGGAATGCTCCCTCTGAATTTTGTCTGTGGCGTCATATACTGCTTTGATCGAAGCGAATTGGAGAACATTATGGGAATTCTCACTTGTAGAAGAAAGGAATTCCCTCTTCGCCGCCTCGAAAGCCTCAGCAACAGGAGAGGCCATTACGTTCCAGTCGTCTACAGGGCGATTCTTATCAATGTTTTTAGCAAGGTATAGGATCGCGACATTAAGGGTTTGGACGTGGAGAGTGGCTCTTATCGATATTTCCAGTGAGCTACAAGAAAGCGAAATTAATAATTCTGATGTGCAGGTCGATGAGGTAGGATCGCTCAACAACAAAGGTTGTGGTTCTTGGCAGTGGAGGCTTCGCTCCTTCAGCTGATTTTCAACACCAGGACTCCGAACACACAGCCTCTTTCGAAGTGGAGGCTTAGCTCCTTTAGCTGATTTCGAATGCGACTTCTAACACATAGCCTCTTTCAACGCAGGCTGCAATAAGAGTGCAAAACGTGCTAAGTTGAGCAAAATATAGGCACCAACTGTTGCTTACCAGAGCACCAACTTCGAGTTTTTCAGAATAGGTGTAATTTTAGCTCATTATATACAAATCCATCCCAAGAAATCGATTGCAACTAGTGCTAAGTC